GACAGCATAACACAAGTAAGGGTGAAGCACATTTCACAGTGCAAAGTTTTTTCACCGTATGCCAAACTCAACGAACTTCAGATAGCGTTGATTATTTTGTGTGAAAACCTGTCTGCATCAGTTACGTAAGCATCCGCCATACTCCCCTTTTCCAGGGCAGGGTAGTATGGGAAAATACAACAATCCTTCGTGCTGGCTGATCCATCTGGCTTCCTGATATTTTGTGCAGACATGTAGACATTCTTAAGTTTCATGTGCAGCCAAATCATTCATTAATATTGTTTTAGTGAGAGATCACGTGCTTATCGATACGTAACTGCAAGGGTGGTATGATCATGGATCAGCACCACAGTAGCTACATTACCACCACGGATAGCATGACAGTGAACACTGTGTTTATTTCAGGTCTCTAGAGCAAACTCGAAGAGCCCGCTAACTAACCTTGGCGTCGTTGATGCCGCGGACTCTCATAGCGACTACAATGGCGATGGCCAGCAGAACCAGGGCCCCGACCACTCCGACCAGCACTCCGACCACAGGCCGCACCTCCAGCAGACTGGCCGACCGCTCCGCTGGGTATGCAAAGCACCACATTAGCAGAACACCACACGCCCAATACACACAAAAGTTCGCTATCAAATCAAGCTATTTTCTTTGGGCATCCCTCGCCTGCACTGGCCACTGTGCTGCTCAGGCTGCGGACTGTTTGATAAATGATGCAAGCGCTACGGCTCAGAATTGCCGTTCACCAAAATAAGATTACCTAAACCAGATGACAAACACAACCTTAGCGGGAAGTTGGATCGTCGACCTTCGGCTCGGCCGCAAGTTACTTCAAAAACTGAGGCCCCTCTTTCCATACATTGTTCATGTCAGGCAGCTCGATGTTCTCAAATGATGCCGATATTGTCTTCACCTACCCAATTGCCCCATTCCGCAGCATTCCATAATTTCATCTGATACTGGAGATGTAAGTGATGCTGATTTGGCCAGCCAGCTAAGGCCGCCTAATTCCACCTGTAGCCGTATTTCACGACGTAATCCGCACAAAGCCCGCTCACGCTCATATATCTGCGTTGTTGGCCGGCTGTCAGACGCAACACCGCAGATGGGATATCGATATCGATCTTAGTGCTTGCCAAGGCGAAGAAACAGAGGACAGGAATGGACAAAGAAGAGAGAGAGAGAGAATAGAGAGAGA